TATTGATTTGAGTCCTTGTTCACTGAAGATCCAGTGAGCCAATACACTGTGATACAACTTTGGGTTAAAAGAAATGATGTCTCCTCCCTGTTGACCACAAATTGACCTTTGAGATTAGAGTCACAACCTTTCCTGTGCAAGCCCTTCAAATACCTAGCTGCCATTTGAAAGAAAAACTGTTCCAAATGTAATTTTATACATTTTGGTGATAATAAACATTTCTTCTGTTAAAGTCTCTTGTATCCTCTGTCTGTTCAGTTGACAATATTTTTGCAACCCTATTATGTGCAGTAGATGTTGAAGAAAAAACAATGAACCAAAATAGACATGTTCCTCGCCTTCCAGAACGGATTTGTAGCAGAGAGCACTCTCATTTTTCCTCATTCTCTATATATACTGGAGGAAGAAAATTATAAAACATACTCAAGTTCATCTGATTTCAACTAAAAAGTGCTCATATTAAGCAAAATGCATGAAGTAAAGTGACATCTAGTGTTAGTTAAGTGGCAGTGAAATATGTGTCAGGACACTGAGTAGCTTTAGTTTATTCTTTGGAAATAATGTTAAACTTGGCCTGACCAACTCTTAAAAGCATAGTTTTGTTTCTTTTTTTTTTTTTTAATTTTAGAGTAATTTTGAAATAATCTCAATTTAAATGTTAATAACATTGTTTTTATTTTCTTTAAAAAAGATTAAAATACTTAAAGCATATAGAGAAGAATAAATAACGCAATAACATTCATGTATTTATCCAACTTTGGAAAAATCTCAACATTTTGCATATGTGCTTCAGATAGTTTAAAAATAAAACATAATAGACACATGAGATGCCCTGTGAATGCTTTCCTGATTTCATTTCCATCTTTTTCTCCTCAGAAGTAACCACGATCTGGTTTATTATCTCTGTGACTATTTTAATATTTTTATTACATATTTGTGTACCTATAAAATTCATAATATTGCATTTTTTACACTTGATATAAATGATACCTTACTGTATAAATCCTTCTACAACTTGCTTTTCCAGGTTCAATATTATATTTTTGAGAATTATTCATATTGGTCATGTAGCTCTAGTCATTTATTCTAACTCCTGTGTGGTAGTAATCCACTGACTGAATTATACCACAATTCATTTATCTTACAGTTGATGGACATTTAGGTTGTTTCCAATCTCTTGCTCTTATAAACCATGCTACAGCGAACACTCTTGTACATGACCCCTTGTGAACACGTTCGAGAGTTTCTCTATGCAGCATGCCTAGGAAGTATTGCTCAGGTATATACATTCAAAACACCTATAGATATTGAGAATTTGCTCTCCAAAGTGACTGTACCCATTTACACCCTCGCCAGCAGTGCAAAAGAATTTTTGTTGGTTCACAGTCTCACCAACACTTGGTATTGTCAGGCTTTTTAATTTCTGACAATCTGCTTGGTGTAAAATGTTATCTCATTGTTATTCAATTTGCATTTCTCTGATTAGTAGTAAAACTGAGCTGCCTTTTTTTTTGGTGAGGAAGATTGGCCCTGAGCTAACATCGGTTGCCAGTCTTCCTCTATTTTGTATGTGGTACACCGCCACAGCATAGCTTGATGAGCGGTGTGTATGTCCGTGCCTGGGATTGGAACCTGTGAACCCCGGGCCGCTGAAGCAGAGTGCATGAATTTAACTACTATGCCACTGGGCGGGCCCCCAAAACTGAGCTTTTTAAAAAACATGTTTTTACCACTCAAGTTTCTTCTGTGAATTGCCTATTCCTCACTTGTGTCTATTGGACTGCTGCAATTTTCCTTACTGAATTGTTTTTTTTTTTTACATGCTCTTTACACACTCTTGATACAAGTACTTTGTAGGTTTAATTTATTGCAAATATTGTTCTCCAGCTTGGCTTTATACTATGTTCACGGGATCTTTTCATTTTAATTTATTCAGCTTTATCAAACTTTCCCTTTTTATAGCTTATTTAAGAAAGCCTTCGTTGAGTTTTTCTCTTCTTTCTTCTAAAATGTTTAAAGTTTTGACTTCCATATTTAGGCTTCTACATTGCTGCTTTCATGCATCGGGTGAGGTAAGGATTTGTTTTCTTTTTTCCTATGGATAATAATTGTTCGGCATTATTCATTGAAGAGACCACCCTTTCCTCAATGTCCACTTTTGTCTTATCACCACAGTCACTCAAGAAATCAGTTGTGTAAAATTTCTCTTAGATATCACTACTTGTATAGCATCTTGAGTTTCCCTCCATTACATCAAGTGTGCCTTCTGACCTCCACCTGTGGGCTTATCCCTACTCACACTCTGAGCCTGGTTGCCATCCGCCCGAGAAATATTGGTCAATCTCAGGACCATTCTTCCTGATGTTCCCAGACTCTGTGTCTTTCTGGTGACTAGTTTTTCGTTGGTGTCCATATATGTGTTATTTGCACTTCTATTCTGGGTTCTGAGCTAGGGTGACCAAACATCCCAGTTTTCCTAGGACTGAAGAGTTTCACTAGTGCAGGACTTAAAAGTAGTAAAATTGGGACAGTCCTTGGCAAACCAGGACGGGGTGGCTGGTCACGGTTAGTTCTTACCTCCAGTTTCAGCTTCCTCCTATGTTGACCTCTTGACTCTTCACCAGTCATATTTACATTAAATTTTTATTTGTTGAGTACCTACTACACATCAGATGCTGTGTGAAGCATTTTTACACACAGTATCTCATTGAACGGTTACAACAGCTCTGTATGTCTTCCTTTTTACACATGAGGAGAATTGTATTTAATTGGCAAGGATCACAAAATTAGTGACACAAAAGAATGAAACTCAAGTCTCTTGACTAAAAATATTTTATTTCTATTAATCTTGCTATCTTCCTAGCCTGAGGAAAACATAGCAGTAATTGCATACATGGGGTCTACACCTGTGCTAACTGAACTTCCGGGTGGAACCACATTATGCCTAGCCTCTTGCTGTCCAAATATTTTTGGTCTAATATGATTCCTGGTACATTTGACAGTACATGAAGTCAACTTCCTATGTTCTAAAGCACAAGTCGCAATCCCATTTGTTATGCAACAGTATGAACATCTCAAATGTCTCATTAGGATAAAAACTAAGAAGAAAGATAAACATGAATATTATCGCATGGCATGTCACACTACCACCTCAGATTGTATCCTTCCAGTCAAAATGTCACTGCATGGCATGTGGGATCTTTTCATTTTAATGCATCTACTTTATCAATCCTTCCCTTTTTATAGCTTATTTAAGAAATCCTTCATTAAATTCTTCTCCTTTACATTTTCCAAATCTCAAACGTTATTTGTAGATTATTAATACAAAATATTATTTGTGTACGGGCTGGCCTGGTGGCATAGTGGTTAAGTTCACGTGCTCCTCTTCATCGGCCCTGGCTTCATGGGTTTGGATCCCGGGTACCGACCTACACACTGTTTAACAAGCCATGCTGTGGCAGGCATCCCACATGTAAAGTGGAGGAAGATGGGCACGTATGTTAGCCCAGGGCCAATGTTCCTCAGCAAAAGGAGGAGGATTGGCAACAGATGTTAGCTCAGGGCTCATCTTCCTCACACACACAAAAATTATTTGTGTAATATTTATTCCCCAAATATTAACAGGAATTAGGTGGAGGAGAAAATGGTCCAGGGCCGGCCCCGCGGCTTAGCAGTTAAGCGCACGCGCTACGATGCTGGCGGCCTGGGTTCAGATCCCAGGCGCGCGGCGACGCACTGCTTCTCTGGCCATGCTGAGGCCGCGTCCCACATACAGCAACTAGAAGGATGTGCAGCTATCACATACAACTATCTACTGGGGCTTTGGGGGAAAAAAATAAATAAATAAAATTAAAAAAAAAAAGAAAATGGTCCAATTAGTTGGGAAACAGATTTCTTTATTATAGAACTTAGTTCTTTATTATAGAACTTAGTCTCGATTTTGCTAAGTTGCATTGTGACTTCCCTACACAGAGATAGTGTAGTATTTTCAAAATGATTTGACCATGAAACATTTTTGTTTTGTTTCACTTTGTTTTGTTTTGTAACTTCTCACGTGCTGTGGAATACAGGGAAATGCTCTTTTCATCTGTAACAGCACAATACCCTCCAGAGGGCAGCAGATTCCCTTGGCATATGGCCAATCACCTGTTCATTGAACAGACTGATAAGGGTCCTAGAGCATGTTCTATTAGTAGTCCAGTCATAGATGTACAATTTCCAGTTTCTGTAGCAGAGATAGGCATTGAAATTCAGCTTAAGGCTGATAATAAGATGAATGTGTCGCACTGAGATATAATGCCCCAAAATAAACTGAGTCTCTGATTGATCACAGTTACATCATTGGATTATAAAGTTCAGATCCCAGATCATGTCTTTTCCTTCTTATCTTCAATCAAACAACACATATTAATCAAATGTTCCATAAGGAATAAAATGAAATAATATTAGAATTAATTCCTTTCCCAAGGAACTTACTAAGAGACCGGGGAAATATTTAGATGAGGCAGCACATTAGCTCATTGACTTTCATGCCTGGCTGCAAATCAGAATCACCTGGGGGGGCACTTTTAAACAAGAATAATGGCCAGGTCCCACCTCAGAACAATTAAATTTGAATCTCTGTGTTTGGTTTCAGGCCTGACATTAAAAAAAAAATGTTATGGGGCCAGCCCGGTGGCATAGTGGTTAAGTTCACGTGCTCTGCTTCAGTGGCCTGGGGTTCACCAGTTCAGATCCTGGGTGCAGACCTACACACCGCTCCTCAAGCCACGCTGTGGCAGAGTCCCACATACAAAACAGAGGAAGACTGGCACAAATGTTAGCTCAGGGACAATCTTCCTCAAGCAAAAAGAGGAAGATTGGTAACAGATGTTAGCACAGGGCCAATCCTTCTCACCAGAAAAAAAAAAAAATGTTCTCAGGTGATTTAATGAGCAGCCAGGGTTGAAAACCACTGTATTAAGACAATAAAATAATGTTTTAGGTAAGTGGTTTCTGACCTTTTCAAAGAGAAGGAAAAATTTAGATGTCTTTTCCCAGGGGAAATGTTTTAAATCTAGAAGAATACAAAAAAGAAAATAGTCATTCTTACATCCTCTGTCGAAAGTTAATCTTTGTTAACCTCTTTATTTTTTCTTAGTCATCAGTTTAGCATACAACAAAATCAAACAAAAAAAACTCCACATCTTATGGTTCCTAAACTTCAAAAAACATTTCCTAGTCTTAGAGCAAAAGACACCATTTTTTTCTGCCTCCAAAAATTCATAGTTAATGAATAGCCTTAGTTAATGAATAGCCTAGCACATTCCAAATAGAACCACTCAGCCCATGAATCTCATCTGACAAAAACTAATTCTGTTCGTTTGCTACCTGAATAGAGCTAAGAGGTTTATTTGCACAAGACTAATTGGCAAGGTGGAGGAGGAGAGAGTGAGAGATCAAGAACATATTAATGAATATATATCTTCCAATTGCAAAGAGATATGGAGCAAGCACCGGCCTAGCTGGTTGGAATGAGGAGTATAGGGTATAGTTATGGATTGGAGATTTTCTTTATGCAAAATTAACTGGTTGATGGTGGGAAGTAAATGCATGGAAATGTGTTTCATTAACGTCATGTTCTTACTGTGAGCTCAGCTGGTGTCAGTGACCTGATAGGATGGCTGTTTTTAGGGCATCACAGGACTGGAGACCGCCTGAAGACAATCTAAAGTCTTTGAACTAAAAGATAGTCTTTGAAAATAAAGCACAGGCAGAAATATGGGCTCAGTTCCTCTGACAGCTGATAGATATTTTAAGCAAAAAATGTGATCAACCTTTTCCAAAAGGCTTTAGAAATCAAACTAAAAATGCCTAGCTAGATCTAATGAACTATGCTTGAGTGACCCAGAGGAAAATATCATTATTCCCATTTTATAGATGAAATATCTAAAATCAGAGAAGTTAAGTAATTTTCCCAGAGCTATAAGCAAATAAGAAGCAGATTGAGATTTGAAACCAGGCAAACTTCCAAGTCTGCACGCTTAACCACTACATTGTGTTGCCTCAGAACTTAGAGGAAAAAAACTCACATTGCAATACAGAAAACACATGTATGCACACATTTATATATATTACCTTTTCTAAAGCATGTATTTTAATGTTTCTAAAATTAGGATATTACCAACAATCAATGGTGTCTACAATTATGACACATACATTGATACATAAATGATATCTAGAAGTATAATTTACACATAATTGATACATAAAGCAATGGTGCATCTTGACCTTGAATAAGTTACCTAATCTCTCTAAATGTAAAATGGAGATGTTAACAGTATCTCATAGAGTTATTGTGAGGATTAAACGTAATAATTCATTTAAGGGATAGCACAATGTTCAGCATATTGATAAATATCATCTACTATTATCATTATTAATTTAAAAATCGGTTAAACATCTCCATTGTGTCACACAGTGTCCCAAGATTTGGTAACAACCTTATTACCATGAAATAAGGAAAAGGTTTTGCTCTCATAAAGCTTATATCCTAGTAGGAAAGGACATTATTATTGTTGTATTTACTATGTGGTCAGCACCAGGCAAGTCACCTGGCATTTAAAGATGAATGAGGTGCTTTGTCCACGCCTGAGTGGTTTACAGTGTAGTAAACTAGCTATCTAATAGTCAAAATCTAACTGTGGGAAGTCTCTTTAAAAGTAGCTTATATCCTTAAAAGGTAATTAAAGCATTTCTACTTGGGGCCCTAGTAAAAGATTCAACGTAGGTAATCCAAAAATACTCTTTGAGTCAAATTGAACTGCATATCTCTTCTTTCTAATTTGCTGTGAGTTGGGAAACCACAAGGAGCCTTCTTCCAGAGAGTTTAAAAAAAAAATCCAACCATAGAATCACAGGAAATTTTAAAACATCAAATGTGTAGCATCTACCTTCTAATTACACATTCAAATGTTTCACTCATCACCATATGTATTGTCCTCACATATTAACTAAGTTGTCCTTTATCACTAGAGTAATTATCTTTTATTATCAACTGTATGCTGAGTCACCAAAAAATTCAATTTACCGCATAAGGTGAGTTAGGCCCCAATGATTAATTCTTAGTGATATTTTACCAAACTCTAATAATCTTCACTTTTATATAAAAAGAGAACAAGAGGAAATGAGATGGTTTAGTGGCTCACATTTTTAATTTCAGATGAGAACTAGAGGAATCATGGCAGCTTCATGGCTCTGACCTTGTAGCAAAAATTGGCTGAGCCAGTACAAGTTTCCTGATTCTAACCTAGGGCCATGATCCACCTATGTAACGTTCCTGGTCTCAGTTTCTCTATTTAAAAATATTAAAGAAAGAGATTTTTTTCTTTAAGTATCTTTTGTGAATACATAAGTAATATACACATTGATTTCTGAACATTTGGAAAATATAGAAAAATATAAAAATAACCCATAATCTTATTACCCAGAGAGAGCCACTATTAACATTTTGACATATTTCTCTCTAGAGAGAGGAAAAGAGAAAGATAGGAGAGCACATATGTATACAAAGTAGGAGTGGGATGTAACCAGATGTATAGATGAAATAAAAAAGTAAGAGAATACTAGAGGGGAGGAGGGGAGGGAGGAGGGCGAAAAGGATGGTTACGAACATGTGTGTGGTGATGGATTGTAATTAGTATTTGGGTGGTGAACATGATGTAATCAATGCAGAAATAGAAGTATAATGATGTACGCCTGAAATTTATACAATGTTACAAATCAATGTTACTGCAATAAAAAAATTAAAAATAAAGAGAATACTTATTATTACTTTATGAAAATAAATTAAAACAAGATATGAATGATTCTTAGGAAAACATAAATGGCATTAATTGACTCAAGAACAAACAGCAGAAAACCTGAGTAGATCTATAACTATGAAAAAAACTAAAAACATTTGCAGAAACTTATTTCCATGAGGTAGGTATCATTACAATCCCCAGTTTACAGAATGGGAGAGCTTGACAGGCTACGTGAAGGAATTAGCAGAGCTGGGACTTGTCAATACTTGCCATGATTGCAATCGTCATACTCTAAGTAGGCCTAGACCTCAACAAGAAAAAACTCATACTATGGTAGGGAAGTCATTTAACAATCAGTAACTCAGCACCTACTCTGTGCTTGGCACTGTTCTGGGTGCAGGGGATGCGAAGATGAATAAACTGTGGTCCCTGTGTTCAAGAAGCTTCTAGATGAGTCAAGACAGACAAATAATTACACAGGCTATACTGCAACATGTTAATTGCTATAACAGAGGTAGAAAAAAAGTGTTGTCAGTGCCCAGAGGAAGAAGTGATGCCATAAGAGATAGGGAAGGGCTCGTATTGAATGTACCATTAGGGCTGGCTCTGGAAAGGTAGGCAGAGAAGGGAAAGAAAGGCACACCATGCAGAGGGAACAGCATGTGCAAAGGCAAAATGCCACAGATAACCTACACATTGACTTCATTAAATCTCTCTTTAAAAACAATGCAAAGAGACGTTATGCTGCTTTTGACAAAAGACTATAGTTCTCAGCAGCATCCTTTCCTTCTTCCATCATGACAAAAACTGCTGTTAGTTCACATTAAAATGGCAGTAATATTTGGCAGAAATCTGCTGTATTCTTCCTTAATGAGTTGTCAGAGATTCTGCCGTGCCATTTGTCTTCTAAGCAAGTTATTATGAAGGCTGTCAGTAAAGAGTAAGGATGAGGATAAGCAATATATTCACCAGTCAGCAGGGGGCTCAGAATCTGTTCATTTAGAATCAGCAGGGGGCCGTGGGAAAATGTCTATTCTTTAAGCAAGCCTATGAAGGACTACCATTCAAAAGAGGGAGTAGGTTTGTAAGAAGCTAAAAAAGTCTTCCTCTAGTTTAAACTCCGAGGAGCTTTCTGTGGGCCCTCTGCTTACAGACAGAGAATGAAAGAAAGCAGGGCAGACATTCTGATATAAGAGTGATCTTCATTTTGACTACTCACCAAAACCTAATTGAGAGACTGACAGATGAATCTGATACTATACAGAAAGTCATGTATATGGGTAATTAAGTCGATAGTCACATATGTCAAAATAATTCACACTCAGTCTGCAGTATAGGAATTTTACTGTCTTACTGAGGCTATTAACTATGCGTGAAACTAAGAATTAAGATTGTCGGGCCGGCCCCGTGGCTTAGCGGTTAAGTGCGCGCGCTCTGATGCTGGCGGCCCGGGTTCGGATCCCGGGAGCGCCCCGAGGCACCACTTCTCCGTCCAACGCAAGGCCGAGTCCCACGTACAGCAACTAGAAGGATGTGAACCTATGACGTACAACTATCTACTGGGGCTTTGGGGGGAAAAACTGAATAAATAAAAATCTTTAAAAGAATTAAGATTGTCTGTTTTCCCTGAGGATCTTACAGTTTGGATTAGAATAGCTAAGGAGCAAAGTTTGGAGAAAGATAGATTCAGCCTCTGTGGCTTACTCTTTATGGGACTTTGAAGAAGTTACTTAGCAACTCTAGTTAATAATACCTACTTTACAGCATTGCTGTAAGGATTAAATGAGATAATATATGTAAAGTGTTAGCACATAAGTGCTCAATAAATGGCAGTCATAACGATGCTGCTCCTGCTCGCTTAAATATGATTATTATATAGATCCAAAAACAGTCTAGACTTTTTTCCAAACATAATATGTTCCTATAGAGAGAAGAAAACTTTTAACTATAAATAATTACGGATAAATGAATTATATTATGAATAAAAATATTTTCTGCTGATAAATTTTATCTTTTGTACTGTCAACACTGCAATCTAACCTGTTGTCTATAATTGGACAGAAATAGAACCAGTTTTAGTTCCCCTTCCTAATTTATCACATTTCTAATTGCTCTACTATACTTTGAGATTCAAGATACTAGTGTTAACAGCATCACTGCAAAATCTCATTTTACAGTGTGTTTTTTTTTTTCCCAAGAATGTGGTTTTATTTTATTTATTCATTTTTTTGTGAGGAAGATCAGCCCTGAGCTAACATCCAATGCCAATCCTTCTCTTC